GCTAAATAAAGTTCTTATTTCGTAAACTGACTTCTAAATCAATTGCTATATAAAAAAACACTTAATGTATGGTCCCTTAGTTAATTTGGTTCGGCTTCGCCTCGGGGAAACATCAAGACTTAAACATTAAGTGTATAGTGCAACCACTACAGACAAGATAAATAATAAAATACTATTGCTCAAATGAAAAGAAAGTAAAAAATATAGAAATATTGAAAAAGGGGGTAAAAAGGGAAACTGAATTAATTAGCAGTTTGATATACTCAGATCCTGCTAAACGACAAAAACTCAAGTCAGGGATGTCAGAAATAATGCCGGTAATGAAGGTGTTCGGTCATGCCCCCGGCATTACGCTCACGAGTGACGTCAAAACAATGATACGAGTCAATATAAATGTATACAATAAAATATCATCTACCATTCTCGGATATATTTCTTAATACAAAAGAAATACTCCCTTCGAAGAAAACCCTAGAGATGTTTCCGTAATTTGTCAGGGACTAACTTAACGATTAACGCACTTATCAACGAATGGGTTGTATGACAAAAGCCATCGAATTATGAATGCGAATAACCTCGAGTAGACACGTAAGAATAGCCCTTGCCTTCAATAGTCGACTAATGCCAACTGAAGGTGAATTAAATTGCATTACGCTTGTTTCAGATGTCAACAGCTTCGCTATCCACAAGACGAACAAGCTGGGGAAAGTTTTCGATCCTTTAATTTTCTAAAGTGAATCATTCGATTGCCTTCGCTGCGAATCCACCTACGTATTAATTAAATACACCTATTTCAAAAAAATGTTGTGGTCAGAGATTTTTGTACGAACAATCGCATTCTTATCTCAAAAGTCATGCTTCATTCTTTTTTTTTTTGAATTTAGCCCGTTTTAAGTAGTTTTTCTCTACCAGTCTTATTTCTTACTGGTGGGGGAAAAAATCCTTAAAACGGGCTGAATTCAAAAAATAACCACACAGAGCCAAAGAAGTCTTATTTCTCAATGATCGGGTAAAATTTCGATTCATTGACTCGAAGTGATGTCTTTACTTGTCACCATAAAGAAGAATGAAAGCTACTCAACAACTCACCCACACAAACACAAACACCAACACAAACACACACGAATAAATCTCAGAGTAAACTATGCTGTTACTTAGTAACTTATCACAGAACTCGGAAATGTTAAACTTAATGATACGCCTTCCACCTATTATTTGTTTGCACATGTTTCTCAAACAAAGAAATAAAAAGTCTTCTTAATTCAACATTCGTCAAATATCAAATTATATTTTAATTAAAAAAGATAAGAAGTGAAAAAAAAATTAAGCAAAACCACTGAAAAATATCCAAAAATACCTTGGCCACGAAACACTTAGTACTTTGGAATGTTAATTTCTATTTAGCTAATAAACATAAATACTCGGTAATTCAAGGTATTGAGTATCAAACATTGCCAGAATATGTGATGGAGCAATGTGATGTGTGTAACATGAAATAGGAATTAATATTTTTTTTCAAAGCCAAACATCGCATGGTACAATGCATTCCTATTATTCATTTACCCTGTGGGAGAAAAACAACTGTTTGGAGACGACTTTACTGACAAATCAATGTTCATTGTCTATGACTCTTGGATTTATATTCAAAACTGTGATGCTAGCTCTTTGAAAAACTGGCATATGGTATAAGCTTCTTTTTCATTGGCAAGAATTATTTAACGTTTCAGAATGAAGGGGATTTCTGTGGCGATATGGTTGCAGTGGTTAATAACGTTTGCCCTTAACGGAACAAATCTTGCTTGGTAAGTATTCTAAATGCTTAAGATGTTTATTCCAAATAATGGTCTTCTGTTTACAGTTATACGAACCGGAATCTCTTTCACACCTATCAAATATCAAAAGCTATCGCATCCATCATCTAAGGCTAACATCATCCACAAAAGTGATATATTTAGTGTTAAAAAAACTACTTTCTGGGTACCAATATTATGGTTTTGTGTGTCAACGTTATGTTTAAAAATAGACACAATAGAAGTGGAATAAGATAAAGATTGCGATCTAGCAAAACATATACAGTTTGTTAAAAGCTAGAAATGCTGATTTCTTAGTTTTAATTTCATTTTTTTTTTCGTTGAATCTTATTTTATTTGTTCGTTATTCTTTATCAATTTATTTTTATTTTATATTATTATTGTATTTTACATTGTATTTTATGCGATACTTTTAAATTTTAATTTTTTGCATTCTGTATATTTCAATTCTATTTATTCTTTATTCTATATTGTTTTATTTGAAGTCAATTTTACATTTCAAATTATTAAATCATATTATATTTTCATTTATTTTATTTCGTTTTCTTCTATTCTATGAATGCGATAAAAATATCGTGTTCAGTAACAGTTTTCATGTACAGTCAGTTGACCAGTGGATTGCTCTCACACATTGATTCTATTTATTTTCAATTTCACCTTCACATGGGAGAAAATAATTAGCGCCAGGTACAACAAGATTATAGATTTACCGCTAATAGGAAATTCAGAATTGATTGAGTAATCTACGGCATTCTTTACTTACTATATCCTTAATAAATGAATATTTTGTTCTCTTTTTTCCTGTGACCTCCGATGGCATCACTACCAAACCTACAGAATAATTTTCATAGTTCATTTTTGTTGGCACAATAAGTATAACATCATTATTTTGCGTCCCTCAAACGAGTTAAAACAGTTGAATCATATATTAAAAAAATAATTTCAAGAAAATGATTTTGGAATCATTTGTGTCAATTAAATATGGACACGGCGAAATGTCTTTACTTGATTCAAGGTTTCAATATATATATATATATATA